GTAGCATGGTAGCCTGGAATATTGCTTATCATCTTTTGAAAAAGTCAGCCCTGTAGTTTTAGTGTATGCTCTTGAGGGAGCTATGTCACTGGTCTGCATCTCGAAAACTATAGCCAGGAAAAACTTTCGTACCCAGAGCAAAGATAGTTTAAACCGAAATATTTCGACTCTATCTCAACGTCTTCATACCTTCATCAGTTGAATGTTGAATTCAGCTATGATCTGGCTAAAGCTAGAATTTCTGCTCTTCTGGAGAACAACTCGTAACAACTTAAATCTTAAATACAAACATCATTAAACCGCTTCAAGACAAAAAATCTTCCATGAACTTTAATGATTTGTAATATTTATCTGCATCTTCCTTAACATCAAATCACACTTATTCATTCTATTTTTAATTAAACGAAGATCATGTTCAAGTCTTTTTGGCACAGTATGTTACTTGCCAAAGTAATGGACAACGAGTCCATAATATTGTACGGTAATACTGTTATCACTAGAAATACACGTCTGTAATTGGACCAGCCAGGTTTGATTGACAGATTACATCAGACTACCACAGCGCCTGACAATCTTATATATTATTTTCTTAGGAGTTAATATTTTACGCCATTCGTTAATAATAACATTAGTATTATCTCTAACTTCATTGAGGTAATTAATTTAACAGTTTTTGTGTCCAGTGAAGCCCCCCTCTCGCGCACACTTTAACGAGCGCGCGAGCGGAGCCTCAGATAAAAGATAATAAATCCAGTAATTAAAATCTTTACGAGAGCTTGGACCAGTCATGACCTTCTGAAGTCACCTAGTGTATATGTAGGCGATGTTTTTAAATAACTTATCGTGAGAATATATTAAATTTTACATTAACCTGGCCTCTGAGGTTTTTTTTCTCCTCTCTTCATGACTGGAGCCGCAGCTGAGCGACAGCAAAGGGCTCGTTGACGAGCGGTCTTTCCTATGCGGCTAAAGCTTGTTTCAGAAGAAAGGAAAAAGTAACCGAGAAGCAAGTGGATAGAGGGTAAACTTCCATAATTAAATGCCCCCCATAATGAGTTAACTCTTTTACTCCCAAGAGGACAGAAAGCCGTAGAAAAAATCAAAAAAAAAAACATAATCGTGTAGAAGAAACGGTTGATAACATGTAAAAGAACTTCTGACGAGGTTTTATCTCAATGGTAACACCAAAGGATTTCATGTACAAAGTCAAAAGTTGCGCCTTGTGTAGGCTCGATTTCTGCCGCTCTTTCGGGTCCGCCCTAAGATCAGAGGGAGGAGCGCGAGCTCATTTCCCGAATAGCAGCGGGTAATCGAGCCTACACCTTGTACAGCATAATAAACAGCAACACAAGAAAGTGCTGCCAGAAAATCTCATTTAAATAGTGATACTGAAGGATTTGCCTCACGTACTCAGACATCAGGAAAACAAACCGTTAAGAGGGTGTGGGAGCGTAAGAATCAACTCTTAAATATACCTACTTTTTAAAGAGAAGCTAAGTCTTCAAAATATAAACTAAACTGGGAAGGAATACATTACAACTTAGTCTTTGATTATAGATACATGGTAACTACATTTAACTTAAATAATTTAATATTGAAACCTCTCAGTCAAATTTATATGGAACATTTTCACCGAACACAGTACTGTTTATAGAGAACAAGCCGGAAATTGTCACCGTAAGTTCAGTAAAGTGATTGGGACGCAGCGTGACGTGCGTGAATATACTTTTCGATTGGACGCTGGTGCGTCACGCACTTAAATCTAAACAGGAGCACATACAGTAACGACCAATACTATCCTACATTATTTAGTTAAGAAAACGATTACCCTGAGAAAACAGTGGACGTTTCGCGACGCCACCACTGGTTTCCAAGGCGAAATGACGCCTTAGAAAAGAGTGCAGAACGCGTCACTACTCAGATCTGGGTAGCGCTGCTGATTGGTCGTTCGCGTGGGAATTTTGCTTCAACCAATCAGAAGCACTATCCAGATCTGGGTAGTGACGCGTTATCAGTACGGAATTTCTGCGCTCGTTTCTCAGACGACATTTCCCAGGGAAACCAGCGGTGGCGTAGCGAAACGTCGGCTGTTTTCTCAGG